CAATTATAAAAGCTGTGTACGAAACCGTGCGTCTGCTAAAAAAAACGAAAGACGGCCTATCTAATGAGTTTGACAATTTTCTTGGTGTGAAACAGGGCAAACCGCTCTATCCTCTTTTATTCTTATTCTTTATGAACGATATAATCAGTGATATGCAAGTGGATAATAATGGTAACATACTCGAATTTAATGGTCATCTCATATATTTTATGATATTTGCTGACAATACCGTTATGCTAGCAAAGTCTCCTGATGCATTGCAAATATTGTTAAATAAACTTCTTTTATACTATGTTTACTGCAGATGGTGGAATATAACTGTAAATACGGACAAAACGAAAAAAGATATTCATCGCGCCAAACTTCATGTACATGTATAGTTATAGCATAATGTTTGTTGTATAATTAGTTTTGAATAATAATTGCCTTTAAGTACATTATTTTATCTCGCAATATGAAATAAAGCAATTACTTGTCTTTGTGAATATGTGCTTAATTAACTTTTGAAAAACTAGTAACCGGCCGTAGGCCTAATTGAGTATTCGTTTTTTTTTAAGTCAATAGAACCACATATTTACCTCATCAAAAGACAGTAATTGTTTGTTATTATTTTTAAATTAGATTTTGATAACACCTATTTTTTTTGCTTTCTTAATATAATAGAGTATAGCCAATCAAGATTTGTCGATATCAAGAGTAAACAACAGAACGGTTTCATCATTTTCTTCCCATATCCCAAAAATGGTTAATCTAAATCATCTCCTCCAAAAGTATGAACTTCCAATGATTAGTTTGTGTTTTATTCACGAAGGAATGATAACCCCTTTTAATCAATATTAGTAAATTTATTGAATCAAGCACGGTGATGTACCTTTTCCACCCGTTGACCAGTACATTTATTTTTGTTGTAGGTGTATTGCTCTCTCATTTAAAAACCCCATTTATTTTCGAAAGCCTTCTTACCTTAAATATTGCGATGCCTGTAACTCAGGACGAGGAATTTGTACGGGGAGGTAAAATGTCCAAACTGGCACACTTAACTTGGATAGCTATCTTTAAAACTTATATCGATGCTAGGTAAACATTTCAAAGATATGGATTATAGTTGATGTGTTAATCATTTAAACATTTAATTGAAGTAGAAATTATTGATGAACTGGGTGAACTATTTCATATTCTCTCATGTTGTGCCCTCTTTGCACGTATGTGTATTCCGAACTATATAACTTTAACAGTATCTGGGCATATGCTACAGAAGTAATATAACTTGATTTTGACTATGCATTTTGCGTGTCAATTTAATAAATCAAATCAGATTAAATCATTTAATTTGTATAAATCCAAATGTAGGACTGTCATATAGATATACAATATCCATAAGAAAAACAAGAAGAAGATAAAAGCAACAAACTCAATTTCCTATATGAACATAAGATTATACATGCAAAAAAGGTGTCCTGGTATATATCTTATTTTAGACGTATGATATTATGTGTATCTAGAGTTACAGAGCCTAGAGTAAAGATGTCCTATACGTATCTTATATTCTAAACTAATCATTTTAAGTGTATACCTTAGATATTTCAGAGTCATGATATCCTGTTTTTATATCATAGATCCGCAGTGTATATATTATGTTCCAGACTAATGATCCCCAGCGTATATTTTATATTCCAGACTAATGATCCCCAGTGTATATTTTATATTTCAGACAAATAACCTCCGATGTATTTTTTATATTCCAGACTTTATTTTATATTTCAGACTAATGATCTCCAGTGTATATTGTATATTCTAGACTAATAATCCCCAGTGTATATGTATATTCTATCCTTATGATCTCCACTGTATATTTTATATTCTAGACAAATGATCTAAATAATTTTGTACATTAATCAGGCCGTTATTTTTTCTCGTTTGAATAGTTTTACATTTGTCAATTCGGGGCCTTTTATAGCTGACTATGCGGTATGGGCTTTGCTTATTGTTGAAGGCCGTACGGTGACCTATAGTTGTTAATTTCTGTGTAATTTGGTCTCTTGTGGAGAGTTTTCTCATTGGCAAGCATACAAATATGTTATATTTTAGCCTAATGATTCCCAGTGTATATTTCATATTCCAGACTAATGATCTCCAGTGTATATTTGATATTTTAGACAAATGACCTCCGGTGTATATTTTATATCCCAGACTATATTTTACATTTTAGACTATTGATCTCCAGTGTATATTTTTATTCTAGACTAATGATCTCCAGTGTATATTTTATATTCTAGATTAATGATCTCCAGTGTATATTTTATATTCCAGACTAATGATCTCCAGTGTATATCTAATATTCTAGACTAATGATCTCCAGTACATATTTTATATTGTAGACTAAAAATCTCCGGTGTATATTTCATATTTCAGACTAATGATCTCCAGTGTGTATTTTATATTCTAGATTTATGATCTCCAGTGTATATTTTATATTTCAGACTAATGATCTATGGTGTATATTTTATATTCCAGACAAATGATCTCCAGTATATATTTATATTCCAGAACATATTTTATATCCCAGTGTATATTTTATATTCTAGACTAATGATCTCCAGTGTATATTTTATTTTCTAAACTAATGATCTTCAGTGTATATATTATGTTCCAGACTAATGATCTCCAGTGTATATTTTATATTCTAGACTAATGATCTCCAGTATATATTTTATATTGTAGACTAATAATCTCCGGTGTGTATTTCATATTTCAGACTAATGATCTCGGGTGTATATTTTATATTTCAAACTAATGATCTGTAGTGTATATTCTATATTTCAGACTAATGATCTCCAGTGTGTTTTTAATAATTCAGACTTATGATCACCGGTGTATATTTTATATTCCAGACTATATTTGATATTTCAGATTAATGATCTCCGGTGTATATTTTATATTCCAGACAAAGGATCTCCAGTGTATATTTTATATTCCAGACAAATGATATCCTGTGTTTATTTTATAGTCCAGACTAATGATATCCTGTCTTTTATGTTAAAAAGTAATGATCCCATGTGTATAGTTTGTACTCCAAACTAATAATACCCTGTGTTTATTTTATAATTCAGAGTACTTACATGTTATGTTTACGGTATATTTCATAGCTGTCATATCCTGTGTTTATTCTATATTTTATAGTTATAATATCTTGTGCTATCCAGAGTAATGATCTATTTTTATATTTATGACAGAGTTATTCATGTGCATATTTTCTAGTCGTATGATATCTCTGTTTATCTTATATAATAGAGTTATGCTATCATGTGTAAATTTTTTATTTTAGAGTGATGATATCATGTGTATATTACATAGACCAGAGTTATGTTTTCATATGTATATTTTTTTCGAGAGTTATGATACCATATGTATATTTTGTATAAAAATGTTCAAAAAAAAAGAATAGAAAATAATGGAGGCTAAATATAAATTACAAAGACATAGAGGAGGAAAAACTAGGTAGCAAAATCCGCTAAAAATCCTCCTAAAATTAAATGGTCGTTCTCTCACTTTTTGTATGTTATCGTTGACGGGCATATTTCAGATTGTCATGTTTTCTCGGCACTGGTTGGTCAATCATAATATATGACTACGGACAAAAATTGCTTATAAAAATGAAAAGAGCAATAGAGTCAAATGATAATGCATATTATCCAAAAATTATATGTTGTCGTTAAAATCGTCTTTAAAATTAGCTTGCATTTACCTGAATCATTAAAAAATATCTTGAATTTGGAAATACACGGTAACTTGCTTAAACGTAGCTGGACTGGTCAGGAAAGATTTTGCAAAACCATGAAATTTTTCTCATTTTTCCTTTTTGTGCGTTCTCATGCAAAATTCTTTTTTCTCTGAATCCTAAGTTTTAATATGAAATGGATATAAAGAGTTGTCTCCCGTTCATCATGCATTGTACATTTATAACACAATTTTCTCTTAAAAGAAATGATCAGTTTTCACCTTTTTAAGACAATTAAGTCGTGATTCAAATTATTTTCTAGCTAATTTTTCACCGAAATATAGTAAGAAAAAGGAAAACCATATAAATTTCATCCATATTACGGACATATAAAACTATTCATCCCATTACACTTACTTACAAAAAAAAATTAGATAGAAATAGGTGATAAGACATGTTGAACTTACAGTCATTCCAAACACAAAATAAAGTTAACCCATTGCTTATAGTACATAAGAAATTGGGACCAAACCAATACAAATTAACATCGACCAATTAAGCATGAAAATGAGGACAAGGTCAGATAAACCTGTCTTACGTACATGCACACATTACAATCATTCCATACACCAGTTGTACTCTAATCATTGTTTATTGTATTTGAAATACAGATAAAACTACAAAAAATGTAACATTGACCATTGAACCATGACAATGAGGTCAAGATCAGAAGAACTTTGCCAGTCGGACATGTACGCATTACAATCATCCCAATTACAAAATATACCTGACCTATTGCTTGTTGTAACTGAGGTAAAGACTTTATCGTGAAAACTGATTAAAAAAATGAGGTCAAGGTCAGTTTAAACTTGTCTGGCGGACATGTAGACCTTTCAATGGTCCCATATACCAGAGATGGTTATCCTTTTATTCACACTAAGTGAAATTCACGGGAGAAAAATTTTTTGGTTTTAAATAGTCGCTGAAACATGACAAAAAGATCTGAAATATAAAGCTTTATAATAATATAGTTTATGCGACCGCCGCAAATGTTTTCTTTCAACTAAAAACAACTCAAGTTGCTGTGTCAGACCTTTTCCTTTCTAATGTAAAACAGTAATAATAATTTTAGTTTTGTGGATATGCCAAGTAGATGTAATGCCAAACAATTTGTATGATGTGGTTTTGAAACTCCATAAATATAAAGACTCATTACTGTTGGTATCATTAAACATTAAGCATATATAGTCTTGAATTTGCAAAAAGAAAGAAACAATTGCATATTTCATATTTTATCAACAAAAGTTTTTTTCTAAGAATGATTAACAAAATGTTTCTTGAATTAAATCACTGTTATCACTATGAATCTTATCATCATATGTTTTATTTGAAACATTTTAGATTTTATAAACAATAACTGAATCATAGGAACAACTATCATCACTTTTTTCAATTGAAACTATCATGATTCCTTTTTTTCTGTCTATGTCCATGTCATAAGGTTCTTTGATTCCATCAGACTCTGATAGTACAGTCCTACAGGTTTTACAATTGGGTGATACTACAACAATACTGTTTTTTTGCTTAGAAACGATATAAACAAAGCCATTTCTGTCTAACGTAAGTCCTGCTGGATTGACGATGTCATCATGAATAAAAGTCCAGAGAGGTTTTCCAGTACTTTTGTAGCAGCAGACTCTTTTCCCAATGGTACCATAAATATTTCCGTTGAATAATGCAATATGATGAGCACTAACTCCTTCTAAAATTGTATGAGAAATATCCTTCAGATTCACTATGGTACTTTTCTTCCCACAACTAATGACTAATATTTGACCATCACTTGCTGTTGCAGAACAGAAATGAGAAACTTCAATTGTTTCAGTAATTTCATTCTTTTCTATATCCACCAATGCTGTCTGGTTTGCTGATACTAATGTAACAGCCACTGTATTATTTCTCACAAAGCATGCATCGTTCGATGATCCTGTTAGTGTCAGTACTTTCCTTATAAACATTCCATCATTACTGAACAGCAGCAGGTGACTTTTATCATACTGGATATCAAGAATTATATATTTACCATCAGGTAATATTCTACAGGCATATATATATTTATAGATTTCATATCTTCTGGAATCGTTAGAGTTCTCAACATTGATGGTTTTATTTCTTCAATTCCAGGAACAGTTTTAACTAGATACTGTGCTTGCTCTTTTCTTCCAGCTTTAGTTCGAAGAGTGAGTTGGCTCGTAATGATATTTATATCACCAAACGATTTCACATCTTGTAGAATTAAGTGCAGAGCAGAGGACATGGTTACCTCTAGGTTCTTTTCATCAAATGTGTCTCCACTTTCTAATTCTTCTATGTATTTTGCTGCTAGTGATGAGGTTTTCTCAATTTCCCTCAGACCAATAAACATTTGTAGTTCAGTTGCAAGTCGTGTCATTTCATAAAACTCATTCTGCAAATTGCTTATTTGATTGGCTCGCTGTTCCAGTTGTTGTAGGAGAGTGTTCATCTCTGATTTTAGCTTTGAATGTTTAGTTTCTAAGTCGTCAAGAATTTCTTGTTCTATTTTGTTTAAGAAATCATCTATTGACTTCCTCGTAAATCGAATTTTTTCAGCAGCTTTAGTTTTCTGTACATTGCTTATATTCATCCTACTGTTAACAAATTTGATAATCTCTTCAAAATTTTTCTTCACATCCGTCAAATCTTTTTCAAGAAGTTGAACTGATGCAGAAAATTTAATTTGATTAAGAATGTCTGATAGTGGTTTCATTTCTAAGCATTTCTGATGTTTTTCTGTGACACACGTGACACAGCAGGGACAGGCATGGAGAGAACAGTAAAGTTCATATTTTTTCTTGTGATCTCTGCACTGGGTACTTAGTTCTTTTATAAATTTCGGTAATTTTTTGTAGTCTTTTATACACATGCATTTGTGGTCTTTAGACATTCTTAACTTTTTGTGGTGTTTTTCACAGTCTGTACAAAGGAATACTTCACATTCTGTGCACCATGTGACGGCGTCTCTAGATATACAATCATCATAGCAAAGAGTGCAAAAGAACCTTTCAGATGAGGTCATTGTTTCTTTATTTCTGAAATGTAATCAAAAAGCCTCTAGCATCGTATCACAAAATAATACTCGTTCCAGAATGAAGGATAGTTGTCTCGTTTGCAATCAGACCACATCTCCTTATCTTTATATTATAATATGCAGTTACAAACTATAAAGCTAAGATAGCATTTCTTGTGAAATATTAGTTAAAGATAAAAAAAAGAGTAGCGATTATACCTGACGATATCGGGATATAGGTACTTAGTCAAATCTAGACCAGAAGTTGTGTTGATATTTAAACCGGCACGGATTAAAAATAAACAATGTCAAAATGTTCAGGTTTTAATTAAAACTTTATTTGAGTAAGTTGATGCAAGCATACGATCGTTATTGTTTCTTAGACAGTTAGAGGCCCCTAGGACATGGTCAATTGACTGAGTTAATAAGCAATGTTGCTGTCCATCAGATTGTCTTTTTCTGAATTTTGTGTCGATAGGCGAGACATATCTTTGTGTCAACAGTTTATTTTATACATTATAGTGCTGGTGAACATATTGTCGTAATACAGATTTTGAATCTTTGTCACCACGGTATTGCCTACATTATTGTTCGTTCTTTTTCAGTTTTAAATAACTGTTTATTTCAACAAAAGTATGGATGATAACAACGATCAAAATAGTTTATTTGGAGAAGCATGTAAAATTAAGCATTAAATGTTTGTAATTAGTAATGATAACCAATTATGATGTATCAATTATTGGTTTATTGGTCCCATGTAATCAGTAATCAGACATTTTATGATTTCAATGTTATCAATAGCAATAAACAGAATGGTAGTAGTAATTATTTTTATGTTATATTTTGATTACTTGTCTTATATTACATTGTGATCGCCTCTTCATATTTCTTTTCTTAAACATAATAAAGTATAATCATTTATTTTAGACTTGCAGATGTTAAGAGTAAACAAAGTCTGAGAAGCCAACTATAAAAGTCCAAGCTTCTTACTTAAGGTTCGGTGAAGTGAGTATACTTTTTTATCCTAAATTAACACATCCTATCCCGTTTTTCGAGAAGAACTTATACAAATGATCTTAAATAATTTCTGAAAACCTACTATATCTTTGTTTTAAAAGATAGATATCAAAAATAATAAACACTACATTAGAATAGAGAATGAAAACGGGGAATGTGTCAAAGAGATAACAACTCAGCAGATTTATTAAAAAATCACGGAAGGGATTTTGACGATGTAGATATATATTTTTTTTTAAATTGCTTTAGTTTAGGGAGAAATCTAAACTGGATATCATTGCAAATTGACAATTTTGTACTTTTCGGTACAATATCAAGAAGATTAGAACGGTTTCCCCATTTTGTTCTTATATCCTAAAAGTCGATAACCCAAATCATCTCCACTAAAAGTATGATTTTCTATTGATTAATTTGTGTTTTATTCACGAAGTAAGGGAACATTGTTCCCCTTATGTCCATTATAATCAATATGAGTAAATTTCTTGAATCAAATACAGTGATGTAAGTTTTACAAATTGAATTTCGAATGCAGATGTATATACATTTAATGTGTACCAATTGTAAATATAAATAAGAAAATGTGGTATGAGTGCCCATGAGACAGCTATCCATCCAAGTCACAATGTGTAAAAAGAAGACAATTATAGGTCAAGATAAAACCGGTATAAACCAGAGGTTGATTTAGGGGGAGGGGGCTTATGGAGCTTTATAAATGGTTGGTGCATAGATTTTTTTACAAGTACCACACTCATAAAGTTGCCTTGGTGGTCCCCCTTTATCAAAATTCTGGATCCGCAACTGTAAATAAGAATATTCTTATCAAATATAATCGAATCAAGATTTGTCAAAATTATTTTTGAGAAGACCCCTCAAAGCAATCGTTTCCAAAACGAAGAGCACGCGCTCAACGTTAGAAACATGCGTTAAAAACTGCATACTGTTAAAGGGCCGAGCCAAATTAAGGGCATACGATACAGTAACAGGGGAGGTAATGACGTTGCTAACGTAAAATATTATTTTCCACGACTTCAAACTGTGACATATCGGGAAAAGATACATTTTCGACTGAATTTTTATTATTTAGACTGATTTAACTTGAAAAGGGTTCATGGACCTAAATAAAGGGGCGGGTTCAGTGCTTCCTAACTAGATCAATCTCCCCTAGACATATTTTTTGCGGCCCTTCCAAGTGGGGAACTTTTTTGTCTCTGATGGTATTTTAATGATTTTGTATTGCAGCCGATCTATAATTGTTTCTGTAGAGTTGATTTAGAGCTAGATATATGGTTTTGACATCAGATCTTCTAATATATGAGACAACCTGTTGACCTGTACATGTTTTGTTGTTGTTTTGTTTACCTTAAATTTTGTCATGGCCGCGGTTCAGGAAAAGGAATTTGTACAGGGAAGTTAAAAGTCTAATATCTGGCATACTTAGTTGTGATGGCTATTTTTAGAAATACTTTTATAGTACTATATATCTATCAATGTCGTCAGGTATGTATTTCAAAAATACTGTGATACTCATTATAACATATAGATAAATTATAAATTATTTTTTGTACTGGTCGAACCGTTTCAGATTTTCTCTTTTAAAGGAATAATCTACATCGAACTTGTTTTGTCTTTACTTTTTGGCACAAAGTCAATTTGATAAATCAAATTAAGTCAAATCATTTTATTGGTACATAATCCAAATGGAGTACGTTCACCGAGACATACACACTCTTATAAGAATACAAACACAATACAACATGCTTTATTCAAAGTCATACATGTTTATAACATAGACAACACAAGCTCTTCTCAGCTTTTCAATTGACATTGACAAATAAAACATAAGACATAGGTTATAGACATAGATAAGACATGACATACACACAAACATAGAATAACTATACATTGTCTCGAAATATAATTTTTTTTTATACAAGGCTAAGAAACAAGTAGAAAGTGAAGCTAAAGACATAGGTTATAGACATAGATATGACATGACATACACAAAAAGCATAATACATAGGTTATTGACATGACAAACACATAACCATGCAAAACTAGTATCTCAATTGTTTAAAACAATTAAAAGGTCTTTCACTTGAAAGTCTGATTTTGATATACACTCTTCACGACTTTTCATTTGATTTGCAACGAGTATACCTTCTTAAACTTTTCACGTTTCGCAGTGAATGACCCTATCCACCTAAATTTTCGGGATCGAAAGTATTGTTACGGTTCGGGTCTGTAGACCTCAAACTCTTATAAGACAAAATTAATATTATAGGACAACCTTGGTATTAGGTTTTATATTTCTTTCTACTGGTATTGTAGATACAAATACTGGTTTTTAACCATTGGTAGCATGGCAAAGGCACTGGTTTTCTTTGAAACACAATGAAGGATAACAGAGTCAAAATCAACTCTCAATTCATTTAATATGTTCAAATAGATAATAATTCATTCAAATATATAATGTAAAAACCCCAGAGCAATAAACTGTACAGAGACCCCCTTTGGAACGTCAACCGTCAATCATGGTATTTGGTATTTCGGTTGTAAATGCAGCCTAGACGTAGTAAAATAATCTAGGTCACACAGGACAGTCTATATATTATACGGGGAAACCTACTCAGAATAATCTGGTGGTGATTTGTATGGATTTCGGGTGGTATTGCTCTGGTATTGAAGCACAGGGTTAAGGTACAATAAGTCCCTGGTATCGGGCCGCAATCTTAAAACCAGAGCAGATGAAAGATGCCCTTTTTATACTTAGAGCCCACAACCCACATCCCCATGGTATCAGTGGGCCATTCTACGGTAATTGATTGGTTGATTGCCCACAGGGTTATAGGTCGTGTGTCGTCTTTTTTTCCCACGGCAAGCACATGCGCAGACAAGGTAAATAAATGGCGGCCTCCAGTAAACGTAGGATAAGTCTAGGGAATAAAAGGAAAAGGGGACGATGGAAGCTTTACATTAACAAAGGATATGCCCAGTTACAATATATATCCCTTATATAAATATACTATAAAGGTGAGAAAACGTGACAATGATAACCCGGGGAGAAATAAAGCTGGGAACATGTCGGGACCCCCTTTTGGACAAACAGTGAGACGAACTCTATATCTTATCATTCCCAATAAATATAACAATAAATACATACAATAATAATATAATTCGGACACGATACCTGAAATATAACAGTGTTCGTACATACAATCTCAGTCACACAATAAATTATCCAGACTTTAACGGCCGCGAGCAAAGTAAAACCGAGAAAGTTCAGTCTGGATAATAAGAAAAGAATAATAATGGCTTTACATAAATATACTTATCATCCTTAACCCTTACCCTATTTTGTAACAGTATGATATTTGTAATGCAGACTTGATGAACTTTCATTTGATATGCGACAACACCATCTTCTAGAAAGTTTGATTTTTGCACTTAATTACCCCCATCCAACTCTGTTTTGGGGGACAAAAATAATTTGATATCTTAAATGTACACATTCTGATCTTTCATTTGATATACGACTACCTTACCTTCTAAGACGATTTATTTTTTGCATTCAATAACCCCACCCATTCAATTTTGGGAGACGTAAATTTGATATTTGAAATGTACACATTCTGATCTTTCATTTGATATGCGACAACCTTACCATCTTAGAAATTTGAATATTTGCACCTAATGACCCCAACCTCCTTTTGCGGAAGGTAAAGTGGGTATTGAATTTTCATTTTGAATAGATCACATTTGGATGTTCAATTTCGTATGTCACATGACCCCCTTTGGCAAAGCAAAAAAAAAAAATGGAAATAGACCTTATGAAACTTAAAAAAAAGTCAATGTAAAATATGAAAACTTCAAACTGTTTATTTTTCTTTGTTTTTTTATCATATGTTTTTGGTATTTAGTTAAACATTTAACCATGTAAAATAAAGGCAACAGTAGTAAATGGCTGTTCAATAGTCATGATTCGATTAAGCAAAAAACAAATCTGGGTAACAAACTAAAACCGACGGAAACACATCAACTATAAGAGGAAATCAACGGAACAACAGAAACACTGTACTACAACAAAAGTAAACGCCAACATACATAGAAACGGACTGTAGATAACAACTGCCATATTCCTGACTTAGTACAGGACATTTAAAAAAATGGTGGGTTGAATCTGGTTTTATGGCAAGCCAAACCTCCCGCTTATATGGCAATGTTAAAAATACCGTTAAAATGACAACACTGCGTGACAGGAATACAGTACAAACAAACGCAAGAACACTCAGCACAGAGAAATACATCAATAAATGATATAATAGTACATACAACATGTAAACCGCAGAATAACAACGAACACCTCCCATGAATTTACAACAGCACACCAGGACACTACAAACGAAATATAAACTCTGCAATTTCTGAAAATTTCAGGTGGATAGCTGCTTTTGATTCAGAAATCTCCCCCCCCCCCCCCCCCCCCTCACAAATATCTCTAAAACGACAACAGATATCTCAAATCTGCTAAATGTAAAATAATCTGCAGAGGAAGTACAACACTGTAAAATTAACAATAAGGGCAATTCCATAGCTCATGCAGGGCTCAATACCTATTTAAGTATATGATACAATACCAAACTTGGCAACCGGAAATCTTAGAGATATGAGACTATCATCATTCAACTCAGACCACTTGACCTTTTAATAAGTAACAAGATCAAGGTTTTAGTACCCTTTGAAGGTCCAGGAGAAATTTCCTCATGACCTTGATATTGACCTCAAATTGAAGGTCTTAAAATACTGATCATTTTTGCAGTTTATAGTAGGTTGATATCTGTTACCATATCAGATATACAAAAAAAACTATTAGTATAATTTAAAGAATTATCTCGTTGTAACTTTTGAACGGATGGTCGGACAGCTTTGGGTCTAGAGCTCCTCGAGAGGAACATTTTATACGCTGTGTGTATGCAATTATCTCTTATCGTTTTATTAATATTCAAGCTTGAGATTTAAGCGTAGACAGTTTTTGGTCATCTATGACCTTTAACCTGGGGCAAATGAAAGGTCACTTAAACTAAAGATTATTGGTGAATGTCCCATGTCTCTACGACTTCCGGTTCTCAAAATAAAATTTTTCAAAAATTGTGTATAATATTTCACAGGAAATAACTCGTATAAGGGTTGATAACAAAATAACTGTTTATGTATATTTACACTGCCATATGTTCCTCTACATGTTGCTATTTTCAGATAGATTCTATCTGTAACAATTTTTAAGCTATATTTAAATCAAAGAAATTGTTCAAGTTGATATTACACTTAAAGGGGATGATAAAATCCTACGCAGTCTTATCTGGTTATTCTTCATGATGAGATCTACTTATTGTATAAATAAGGTCATGATATCTTTAAAAACAACGAGTGGTGTATGTAGAAAAAAACAATAAAAGGGAGATAACTTCTAAAGGAGATGATGAAATCCTACACTGCCTCTGGTAATACCTCATGATGAGGTCTATCGATGGTCCAAATTTGGTTATGATAACTTAAATGGAAACGAGGGGAGGCCATGTCATAAAAATGTTGGAAGAAAAAAAGAGAAAAAAATGAAATAAAAACATTCGAAAACAATAAGGTCTTCCCTCACGTAGGGGAATGACCTTAAAATAATCATATACTACGACAAACATACAAAAGTTTAATAGCTAAGCAATTATTGCAGCTCTGTAATATGAAAGCCTAACTTTATTACAAAACCGAAGCACATATAAATTAGATTTTTAGAATAGCTGTTAGGAGCATGTATTGCAGTGACATGACAAAACATGCATCAAAAAAGAAAATACATTCAATAACAGAATATTAAGTAAAGATGCATAACATACAGAATCTTATGTGCGGAAATATGCAAGCAAATATATATATCTTCATGACTTACTTTTTGCATAAACCATGCAAATTTTAAACTTTCCAGAGTTATGAAATCCTGTGTTTTCCCCCAGGAATTTTTTCAGGCGCCAAAATTCACAGCGGGTAACACTTATTGGCAGTGAACAATTGTGACGCGAAACAATCCCTCAAAATTCTAAAAAACAATATGAAATTAAAAGATTGATGACAGGCTAGCTATAAGTGTTAATTATGTGCACTCTTAATAAATTATTAGAATATATGATAACATCAATCTACACGCATAGAAAACATTGATATTACAGTCCATTTATAGAGTTAAATTCAACTGAAGAGTCAAAAGTTAGTAAATTCAAGAAAATATTCTCCTGTTCCTCTGAGTCTTCCCGTGCTGAACAGCTTTAGAAATGTCAACTTCTGCTACATCTACTCCTTCTAAAGTTATGGTTACTTAGCAGTTTCTAATTATGTTTGACAGCCTGTTTCTCAGCTCTGTCTTTATTCTTTACAGGGTTGAAGATCCCTTCCAACAATCTAAAAATATACATCAATCCCTGTCATATTATTTTTCAGTATAAACATTTCAAAACATAATAAGTTATTAGAAAAGATGTTTTCTCTCATAAAAACATTTTAAGTTTAACCATTCTAATTATTGGTGTAAGTATTTATCTGTAGTTGATGTAGTTACCAATAAGGCAAATGCTGCAATACTGGATAGCAAAGAAATCCTGCTTCCAACTTGCTAGCCAGTTACTGCATGACCATGCATGAATACAGTGAGTTAAGGCTGTCATCAGTTCCAAAGTATTGTTTCAGCAGCCTCAACTCCTGCTTTACTGACACCAAATTCACATTGAAATGGTTAGAAAGAATATAAAAAGGGATACATTTAATTAATATTTAAATGATAATAAAAAAAAATGAATGATAAAAGAAAAAATATAAATGTTATTTAATTTTGTTATATAAAAAATAACAAGAAAATGAATTACTTATTTCTACATTTTCAGGATCATCAACCTCTTCTGGATATACAAGAATACTGGCAGGATCAAAGAAAAAACTTTCAAGAGGGATAAAACTGGAAACCTCTTCTCCAACTTTTCTATCACTTTGTCTATAGTTATGGAAAGTAGACCTAAAAAGTGTTTACTCGATAATTTCTTTTATAGAAGATGCATAAAATTTACAAAGGCAAATCAAATTATTTTGTATCATATTTATAAGTTACTGTAACAAACATGGTTTGGTTTAAAAAGCAAGAGTTTTTTTTTTATTTAATTACCTGTCTTTCAAATTTAGTAAATTCCTCTTAGGATGGACTTTTGACTTTGAAATTGTCTATAATAGTGTAGGTAAATATGTTAGATATACTTACTGAAAGTGTAATGAGATGATTACAGCTGTAAATTTTCTCCATGACAACATTTATGAAAGTTTTGACGATAAAGTTTATCAACAGGTTGTAGGTATTCCTATGGGCACCACTTTCGCCCCTTTAATAGCAGACTTGTTCCTGTACTGCTACGAATAAAAGTTTACAGCGAAAATTAAAAAAGACCCGTCCAAATTCTATTTAATTAATAAATTCAACAACACTTACCGTTATCATGATGATATTTCTTCGTTAAATAATCAAGAATTTACTAAAAGAGAGGCGAAAGAAACCAAAGGGACATTCAAAATCATAAGTCGGAAAAAAAAACTGACAACGCAACGGTTAAAATAAAAAAAGACCAACAGACAAACAATAGTACACAACACACAACATAGAAAACTAAAGACTGAGCAACACGAACCCCACTAAAAACTGGGGTGATCTCAGGTGCTCCGGAAGGATAAACAGATCCTGTTCCACATGTGGCACCCGTTGCGTTGCTCATGTTAGCACAAACCAGATAATAAGTCTAATTCGGTAGGTCACATTCAGGGAAAAGAGGACAGGATTGTAGTTACGACATTTGGAACATATCCGCTATCATCTGTGAAACGGATATTCCATAACGGTTAACCAACCCGTGATGGCGTCCGTAAAATTTAAGAAGGGATGATTTCAACTTCACCGCATGGAACTCTTGGTTTAATAGTTTCCTTGTGAACAGCAATTCTCTATCAAGGAAATCATGATAGGAAATACAAGCCCTGGAATATCGTATCAACTGTGAGATATATACTCCGAATGCAGGCGCTGCTGGAATATTGCTACATAGAAATGGAAAGTTCACAATTGAGAAGCTGAAATCATCTCTTTTGTCGTAAAGTCTTGTTTTCAACCGACCCTCATTGTCAATTTTTAGATGTAAGTCAAGATATGAGGCAGACTTAACTGTATCTGTGGTATCCTTGATCTCAAGTTAGATGGGAAAGATGCGTCCAACATAGTCACCGAATTAATTAGAGAAAATCATCAGCTGACAAGGAAAGGCATTACATCGACCACCGAAAGCTATATGTTTATGTAGCCTAGGTAGGCGAGTGGTCTAGGGCACTGGACACTGTGCGGGCGGTGGTGCCACGATGTCACAGAAGAAAGGGTTCGAATCCCGCTAAGGGAAGAACAAAAATTTGCTTACGCAAATTTGAAGATCTAACATTGTTGGGCTAAATTTGAGACGAGTTATATATATATATAACTAACCAAACCTTTAAACAGACTTTTTCAGAAGGGTTATAGTTACGATACTGTTGTCAGGTCATTAAAGATGGCATACATGTATTTTGGAATTAATATTGATTCACTCATAGGGTCTTTGCATCGGAAATAAACACATTTATTCTAAAACCAGTTGTTGGCATGATACGGGTTATGTTCTCATATATTTCATGATGGTATGATACTAAACCCCTAACAGGATGGATTGTGCTTGATTTTCATATGATGAAGACATAATCTTTCAATCAGTTTAATTGAGGTCTGGAGCTGGCATGTCAGTAACTGCTAGTAGTCCTTTGTTAATTTATGTATCAAATGTCATTTTGCTTAGTTTCTTCTGTTACCTGTTCTGACATCGGACTCGGACTTCTTTTAAAATGAGTTTTACTGTGCGTATTGCTTTGTGTTTGTTTATTTTACATTGGCTAGAGGTATAGGGGGAGGGATGAGATATCACAAAACATGTTTAACCCCGCCGTATTTTTGCGCCTGTCCCAATTCAGGAGCCTCTGGCCTTTGATAGTCTTGTATGTTTTTTTAAATTTTAGTTCATTTATATGTTTAGGAGTTTAGTGTGACGTCCATTTTCACTGAACTAGTACACATTTTTGTTAAGGGGCCAGCTGAAGCCCGCCTCATGGTGCGGGATTTTCTAGCTGTGTTGAAGACCCATTGGTGGCCTTGGACTGTTTTCTGCTCTTTGGTCGGGTTGTTGTCTCTTTGACACATTCCCCATTTCCATTCTCAATTATATATATATATTTATTGAACATGATATAGCAATAACGTTTTATTGCATTCGGTTGAATTACATATAGAGGCAATCCCATTACAGTGTGGACGACACCAATACTTATGTTCTTAATAATAGCGAATCATTTACCTTTAACTTGTTTGTCATCGGCTATCGATAACAATGATTTGACGCTCACACAGTCTGTCAAAGGCTCTACAGTTGGGATGTCAACAATCACTTGTTTCAAATTGCGATACATAAAATTAGACTTTCTTTCAACAATATTTAAAAGAAAGTTGTTTTAAACATTCTTTTTGTCATCACACCCAACAGTTTCATTTGAAATAACAATAAATGTGCAGAGCTAATATCATTAAATTATAGTATATAAATAACACATAGCTGAGAGGGTGATAGAGCAGATTGTTACCCTGAGGAGTACCAATCTGCTCTATTACCCTCTCAGCTATGTGTTAATTATTATACAGAATGTTCTATCATTAGTGTCTTTTACTGCTAAATTTTAAATTGAAACTTCTTAACTATGACGTCACGCACATAACAACATAACAGTCTTGCATTTTGACGTAAAGTATAATAAAAAAATATATATGACATGTAAAACAAATTTGCAGGTACGAAACAGACCGTACAAAAGTATATATATATATTTTTTTAATTGCACCACGATTTAAAGATTACCATGCATTAGTTCCAAAAATAAATACTTTTAGACAAGACAAAAGTTGAAATATACGAAGAGCCAAAAATGAATACAAATTTTAGAAAACGACAATTGTAAAATCGCTTTGAAGTCTGTAAAAGGTTATTGCTAACACATTTATTACTACTTTTGAAGCTAGTGAAAATATATATTTAATGTTTAAAGAACGTGCGATATGATAATTAATTTGATTATCGATTTTTGGTGAGAATGTCAAAATATTCAATGTTAATCAATACGCCTGTAGTATTTTTTGTCTATTCGAGTTACTTGTTTTCAGGCGTTGAGAACCTTTTGGCAACCCCGTAAGTTTAAATGTCCCTTGTAAAAACAACGTATTAAGTGGGCGTGACAGACAAACGGCTACCTGATCTGACCCAGTCAATTGGAGAATTGAGCGCACCAAAGAATGGTCTCATCAACACTGTTATGAAATTGATTATATCAAGTGTTTACCTATATTCCAGAATTAATATATAATATATCCTGTGTTTATTCTATAATTGTACGTTATGATATTATGATATCCTGTGTTTTTTTAAATTTATTTCAGAGTTGTATATATTTTGTGTTCTGAGTTAGCATGTGTATATTTTATATTCCCGGTTTATAATATCCTGTGTATATTTTGTATTTCAGAGTTATGATATCAGGTGTATATTTTAAAATTCAGAGTAATGTATATTTTGTATTCCTGAATTCTGATATTCTATGAATTAAGTGATATTCTAATTAACTAGCACTGGGTCAATACCACTTCTTGTGAACTGTTGTTCCCGAGAGAATTGTAAGCCCAATCGTCTGTGTGTCAGTACGGACATGGTTTATAACAATCTATTTTAAAATTCCCTGTTGACAAATTAAACAAAATATATTAATAAAATAAGGTTCCAACTCCCTATGTCAAAGTTGATGAATATGGCAATTCTTTTTAGGTCCCTGTTGTTCATATAGCTCCTAACGTTGTTATGATATTGTAATTATCATATTTATTTATCTTGGCCTATTCTGTTTTGTGTGGCCTTATAAGATGTTTACATAGTTGTTTACAAAATAATGTTATAATTGTGCAGTTTAGAAATCACTGGTACAATCATAAATACTGATGGCATGATTAGAACTTTCTATTTGACTTGCATAGTAATTCCGGAATGATCATAATCTATGATGCGTATTTTAATCTTCTACAATATTCTAGAAGTTTCCCTTCTATAGTTTTCTAGGAGTTTCCCTTCTACAGTGTTCTAGAAGTTTCCGTGACAAATATACACTACAAACCAGTAAAAGTCTGAAATGGCCTATATCTGTACTCGACTGTACTGATTTTTACTCGACCAGTCTGAATTGGTCTGAATTTTACTCGACATTACTCGACCCCAGTCTTAACCATACTCGACTGTACTGATTTGTACTTGACCCTTATCTTTGCCATTGAAAATAGTCTGAACTATTACTCGACCAGTCTGAAACAGTCTTAACCCATTCTCGACCTATACTCGACCTATTTTTTTCAGTCTAAACCATACTCGACCAAAGGTCTGAACAATACTCGACCAGTCTGAACCATACTTGACCAAATAACCTCTACTTTTTCTAAATTTTAACTGTTAAAATAAATTTCTTTTTAACTGACATGAAAACAGCCACAATAAAATAAAGATATATTATAAAAACAGATTTTTACATTCTTACATGATTCCCAGATTTATCAAATAGAGATAGTTAAATCAAATTATCTTATGTAATAATTTAATTATATTAATTTAGTTTTAGAGTTTTGTTAAAGAAGATTTTCTTTTACCTAAAAACCACACCTATACTGAGGGTAATTAAACCTTATTAAGGTGCTTCTTGTTTGGCATGTGTTTTTTTTTAATAATTAATTTTCCTAAATTCTTAAATAAAAACACATAGGTTTCATGGTTACATACAAAAAATGTACTATAGATATAAGAAGATGTGGTATGAGTGCCAATGAGACAACTCTCCATCCAAGTCAAAATTTATAAAAGTAAACCATTATAGGTTACAGTACGGTCTTCAACACGGAGCCTTGGCTCACACCGAACAGTAAGCTATAAAGGGCCCCAAAAAATTACTAGTGTAAAACCATTCAAACGGGAAAACCAACGGTCTAATCTATATAAAAAACGAGAAACGAGAAACATATAGTTATATAATTATATAATTATCTTTTTAATGAGGTAAC